TGCGAAAGTAACGAGGCCGACAATAGATATCGACGATCGATACGCGTATCGATACCGCATAATTAAAAAACCTCTCTAGGTAGGCGCTTTAACAGGTGCAGAAAAGAAAAGGCGTTGGATTTTAATTTTTTAAATAAGGATTAAAATTATTAATAATTTGTCTCGTTCATTTTCGTCGTTAGGGGATCGCTTATGAATTCCATATTTTTGGGGATGATGGAAATGTGGAAAATGGCGGTCTCTCCCTCTCGTTCTTCGCCGGCGATCTTCGGAAAAGGGTGCTCGCGTGGTTGCGTTTTACACCCTCTCACAGAGCACGAAACATTCCTGGCATATGAACTTTTTTAATATATATGCAAAAGTACACGTGCTTCGCGCTAAGATTAAAAAGCAGGCCCTCGGAATGCGACTTTACGTACGCAAAAGACGCGGTAAATGGCGGCGATGCGAAGTCCAATTTTGGCGCGGTTTTCAAATAAAATGAATTTTGTTTCTGGGAATGTGGCATCGATCGGATCGGTGGAAACCATTGTCACGGATAGGGCAGGGTAATTGACAATAAGGGCTTGTTTACTCAAGCAAACTGTTATTGCTTTGTACAGGACATAGCCAATGAGTCGAAGCTGGATCGTTAAGAAATTTACCGAGTGTCGTCCTGTGGAAACTGTCGGACAATTTACACGTTTACGCGCGAGGGTCAGCTACATCGGAGTTGGACCGAACAACATTTCTTACGACTCTTCTGTCTTTCGTGCCAGTTGCGATCTTCCTCTAACGCTAAGAGCTAATGTTTAATTTGTGAATAAAAGTGCGTTCCTGATTTTGTTATGAATTTATTGCCCCGAGGCGATATATTAACCCGCAGTAATATTATAAAATAATATAAATTATTATCCCCTTCACGTAATCCTTCCAAATATTCTACATTATTTTCAAACAGAGAAAATTGTTTCTCCCTCGAGCGCTTTGCGAACGGGAAGAAAAAACGTCGTCAAGCGACTTTTCAACAAGGTTGCATTTTCGAATGCAGGTGAAAAATATTTTCTTCGGGTTTCTCGGGAGATAATCCACTTTTTCTAAAAATCGTTGTCCTCGTTCTCTTAAGCGCTTTGCGAAAGGGAAGAAAAAACGCCGTCAGGGGACTTTTTAACAAGGTTGCACTGAACAAGAATGCAGGCGAAAAGCACCTTCGGGTCTCTCGGGAGATAATCAATTTTTTTCACGAATCGTCCGACTCGTTTTCGCGAGCGCTCTGAGAAAGGGAAGAAAAAACGCCGTCAGGTGAAGACAAGATGCAAGAGAGTGAGAACCCCCGCCGAGAGTCAGTGTTTGCGCATGTCCCTTTATCGGGGGTGGCGTGATAGCGAGAGCGGGGCGGAGCCCGGACCTCGCATGGCCTCACCGAATAACCTCGCGACGCCGCTCCTCCGCGAACCTAACCTCCAAGCGCGCCCGCTCGTCGGTACGCCTCCGTTGTTTTGCCGTTTATACCGTTCGGGTCGCTTAGGCCGTTTAAGCTCCCCGTGTCGGGATTCATCGCCCTCGATGGATTCTTTAAGAATCGACAATCGCGACTCGAGAATCGCCGCTCGTTCGAGTGACCCTCGGAAGGGGCGTCGTCGCCCCCTCAACGCCGCCATTTTGAGATTTCTGTCCCCGTTTATTGCGCAAGACCCAGTTTCTTCGACTGGGCGTGTTGGACGTTTAACTTCTTCGCCTTTGTCCTCGTAGTGTAGGATTTTCTCGGGATTATCATGTCGGAAGTTTCGCCCGAAGCTTGAGCTCGACTTTCTCGGGTTAACTTCGGTCTTTCGTTCCAGTTGACTGCGATTTCAGGAAGTTTAGCGAGGACTTCATTTCGGAGCGTTGGCTTGAGATATTTTTTATATCCGGGATGAAAGGCGTTCAGGTTTTGAAATCCTCCGTGAAACGTGTCCGCGGTAACGCTCTCTGGTTCTTCCCTTTTATCCGGCGAAGAGCTAAGATTTCTCAAATTTGTACCGCATTTCAAAATCGAGTCTGCCCGATATTCATCATCGATTAACGGCGTTTAGGGTTAGATATCCTCTGTATCGAATACCATCGACGTATCGATACCATCGCCCCTTTGCTCTTGACTCTTAACGTCCCTTGAATTAGGACCAGATGCGAAGTCAGATTAACAAAACAGGTGTTTAACATAATACGCATCCAGGGTGGGATCCATTAGGGGATGATCGGCACCTTCGATTTGAGGTTAATCTTAATCCTCATGGTCACCCTAATTCGAGGCAGGTTTATTTACAAAGTAAACGCAGTCAAATTTCCAAGGCTCTTTGCATTGCCTCGAAATTTTGCATTTGCCGATTTTTGACCTGTTGACTCGATAAGGCAGGTGGCCGGGATTTTTGGAAAAAGTCAAGTAGCCATTCGATACCGATTATCGCCTTCGGCCTCTAAGCCCGGGTCTCGATTTTCCGGCATGATCCGATATAAATGCGCGTTAACGAGATTAGCCCTAATTCCGGACAGGGAGATCAGGGGTGTAACGATTAATCTGGGCTAGGATTTGCATTGCCTCGGAATTTTGTCTGTGCCGATTTTTGATCTGGCGTCTCGATAAGGCAGGTGGCTGGGATTTTTGGAAAAAGTCAAGTAGCCATTCGATACCGATTATCGCCTTTGGCCTCTAAGCCCGGGTCTCGATTTCCCGGCATGAATCGATTTAAATGGGCGCTAATAAAATCTTCCCTAATTCCGGACAGCGAGATCAGGGGTGTAACGATTAATCTGGGCTAGGATTTGCATTGCCTCGAAATTTTGCTTTTGCCCATTCTTGACCTAGTGACTCGATAAGGCAGGTGGCCGGAATTTTTGGAAAAAGTCAAGTAGCCATTCGATACCCATTATCGCCTTTGGTCTCTAAGCCCAGGTCTCGATTTTCCGGCATGATCCGATTTAAATGCGCGCTAACGAGATCAGCCCTAATTCCGGACAGCAAGATCAGGGGTGTAACGATTAATCTGGGATAGGATTTAATATCGGGTATAGACGGCCACGGGGACCTCGACACGGCGTGGGGCAGCTGTCGGTCGACACCGGCTGCACATACAATATCCCTGCAGCGGCAGGTTTCGAGCAGGGGCGGCCAAGAGGGGTCCAAGATGTCGGGTTCTTCTCTATCCGGCGATGTGGGTGTCTCCCGCCACGCTATACGTGGCGTCAGCTTGTCGAGGCTCCGAGAAGAAAAGCTTCGCTTTATGCGCCGATTCGTTCGGGAGTGCGCACCATTTTACGGCCCCGAGGCCGCGATCAGGCCTAGGGTGCGAACCTAACCTCTCCCGCGCGACATCGAGCATAGGACGAATGTATGTCCACGAATGCGTATACACTCCTCCCACAATTTGCCCGCTAAATTATAACACAATTGCGTAAGTTGTGTTATAATTTACATTACATTACATTACATTATTATCTGCTTTTTATTTACAATATTTTTTCCTCTTTACCGACAGGCTTTACGCAACGCGATTTTCATTCGGGTTAATCGCATCCACGTGGAACGGATACTTCGCAAAAAAAGAGATTAAGTAAATTATTATGATTTTGGCGTTAAGGTAATATGAAAGGGGCATTCTATATGTGTATATATATCAAATGTGAAAATATGTATAAAACTTTTCTCCAAACTGGGTGCGCCGAATTGTCTGACACCTGATGGATTATGGAATTTTTCGATAAATGAAATTTCACGAGCATCGCGTTCTTCCTTAGGGTTTCCACAATCTCGTGATGAGGTTTCAAATGATTCGGTGCACCGAATTTGAAGAAACGTTTTATAAATGCTTTAACTGTTTGGAATGCATGTATGACACTTTCATATTACCTTAAGTATTCAGTGCCGTTTGCGCATGTTTTCTAACGTATTTGGCGCAAAACTGTACCAAGTTTCCTGATACTTAGTCTTAGTCTTGAAAATTGGCTAAGCCGTGAAAAAAAAAAAACGCTCGATGGACTAATCAACCTAACCTCTCCCCGAATCTTTTTCGGCCTTCCTGGAAGAATTTGAATTCCTCGTCAATTGTATTCATTTTTTCAAATTGTACAGTTATGCTTTGTGTAGTTGTTATTTTATTTTACGACTTGCAGCAGTTTATTGTTATTTTTTTTCAATCCTCTTGACGATTATACTAAATTGTATCTCTCGTTACCCCGAAAATGAGGCAACGAATTTCCGCCATAACCTCAAAAATCGGTCCGTTCGTTCGACAAGCCCTAATTAAGCCCGGCTCGATTAAAGCCGGCGATATACAGGGCAATTTTCGCAAGCCGTCGCACGTTTTACGGGAAGCGCGTTTTTCCTGGGAAATCGGAATCCGTAAACCGCGAGGCGGGCAGGAAAATCCGGAAGATCGCTTTCCGATATACGGGGGAATTTCCACGGTATCGTTTTCCTATCGGCGCGTTCTTCGCCTCGCCACATCACCGCGGCAACGCGGGGATTGTAATGTCCAATAAATTGATATAAATACGAGCCCCCCCGCGTACAGCCCTGGCTTAAGAATGCGGGGAAGGGAAATATATTAATACGTCGCCAGGGGTTGGCGGCACGTGCGCCTTCTGCAACCCTAGCACGCGATTCGCTCGCTGGGGAACTTGGACAATTCGAGGCCGACTGTTCTGAACTGTTCCAAGGGTCGACCACCCTTCAAGAATGCGCGTCTATTCCGGGGAGACTTTGATAAAATACCAGGGTTAATTATGCGTATGGTGCCCAGTTGGTTTTACGCAGGTTTTACGGGGTCGTACGGGGTCTCCTTGAACCATCATGAGCTTTTTCGACGAATTTTCGACAGGGGACATTTTTGGATTAGACCCCTGCTGGGTCTGTAATTTAATCCAGCTTTTTGGTCTGAATTTATTATCCAGGCTTGTCCAAATCCGCGTTTACATCGGATTAAAATGTAGAAATTTGATAATGAGAGGTAATTGTAAGGGATGATAGGAATAACGCTTGTACGTGAATGTCAACATTTGGTGTTTATTGTCCGCAGAAGTCGCTCTTGACGCGGTGAATGTGCGATGCCGAGCGGATAAATGAATTATGCGCGAGACGGGAACACATGAGCTGAGCCTTTATGTAGAAAAATATATAAAATAATTTCAGCTGCACTTCCGGTGGTACTCCGGGGATGCCGCGCCGTAGTCTTGAAGGCTGAACAGGTCGCTGCTGTTCTTGTGGAGGTATCTTAGGAAATCGTGAATGTGCGCCAGCAGAAGCTGGATGCTTCTTTCATCTAGAGGAGTGTAGGATAGCATGCTTCCAAGTTTCACTGAAACGGGTTGGAAGAGAGTTTTATATATTATTGACTCGAGGAGGTTATGATAATTACCGAATAACCTAAGCAAATGGAATGCTCCGTATATTTGGCTGGGTGGAGTCCCAGGCTTTTCGGAAATAATTTCTCCGTACTGTTGGCGCTCCCATCTGTACAATAATTGTGTTCCTAACATTACGTTGAAGTATTCACGTAGACCTTTTGTCACCTCCATTACGGCACTCTCCCTAAAAATTATTTGAGATCAGTAAATTCTGTAGCATATGTGCTACCAGTTAACAAAGGAGTATTCGGATAAATGTGAAATTCAACCTACTTGTTTGGATTATTAGTTTTGCTAGAGGTCTTAAATTTAACATAGTCATCTAGAATTTGATCCACGGTATGTCTCGCAGGCAGAATTACTAGCTTGCGTTGCCTGCTGATGGCATCCCAGTCGTCGACCAACCATGGCTTCAATTCATCTGGCATTTTTACTTTCACTTCCACTTTTGTTAGAAATTGTTCCTCCGTTTCTACGGATGGATCTATGCGACTGTAAAAGGTAAAGAAAAGATGATTAATAAGATTTCTGGAGTCAGTAGCGTGGCACATCGATATGAAAACATTTAAAGAAATGATGCAGAGATAACCTTCTCTTTTTTCGTGATGCATCCGATGACGAGTCATGAGAAGACGGCGTAATGGAACCCCCCGTAGTTTTATTTGAGCGGCCACCCATCTTCTCGTTAGTTAGGCCAGGTGTGCTAGCTCTGCTTTCGACATCTTTGTCCTTATTACTAGATTCAGACTTTCGACCCTGTGTCTTTAAAGCAGTAGTGGCCTTTTTCCCCTTTTGAGATGCTTGTTGAGCGGCGTGTGCACGTTGCACTTCTTTTTGCTTCTGTACATTCCCTTCGTTGTATTTAAGAACACGACTCTCCGGCACCCATTCGTCCCAGCTAATATTAAAAATTATACACTTACATACTCCTCTCAACGCAATAAAAAATATACATACTTTTTATTCCACCCAGCGTAGTGTATTAAATACTTGATCTGTTTCTCTTTCGTGATCTGAGCCTTCAGACATTTTGCTTCATATATCAACGGGCCATGGAAACATAGAACTTTCTCCCCTGTAATAAGCAACAAATATCACATAGAAATGGGCAATTCTACGTTCATGTACCACTTTTCAATCAATAATATCTCCCACCTTCTTGGAACTTGCACTTTGGCGGCATCTCATCAGTGAAGAGATTTTTGTGAACTTTTTTCCCGAACGAAACCTCAATCGTTCTTGAGATTAAAAACACCCGACGTTTCTGTCAAGCGTGGAAAAGTTGTAACGCTGCTGATTGTGACATTAGCCTGCAAAACAAACGTAGTTGCACAGCTGTAGACATTTCTCGTTCAATTTGTCAGTCTAAGGCGGTTTACCATTCTTCGGGCAGAGGGCAGTGACGGCGTTTATCGGCCCTTGGTAATACCTAAGGTAAGAACTAACCTAAAAAGATCATAGGATAAACTCGCTGTACCATCTGCAGGTACATTATCGTTTCCGTTTCTGCAGGTCACTAATTACTGTGTTCGACATACACGTTCAAGAGGAACATGATTACTTCCTTCACTCTTTTTCAAAAATAGATTCGCTGTATTTTTGCGAAGAGGTATCGATAAGTTTCCTCCAAGATGGTGGCACTAGAGCAGCCCCGAGAAGGGCAGTCCGAATTCTCCCACACTTTAACCTGCCACTTCACCTTTTCAAACCGAGTGACCCGGTGATCTAAATTAGGGGGCCACAAATTATGCAAGGGATTTTTTTAGTAGTCGGCAGGGACATTGACAGCGGACCCTGAGGAAGTTGCACTTAAAATTGGAGCTCCATTGATCGTTCTATTTAAAACGGGCATGTCGAGGATTCACATTTTCACCTTTTACGAATATAATCACCATTTACGAATACATTTTATTCTTTATTACGAAACGAAACCTTTATTCTTTATCATCCCTGGTCTTTAAAGAATAACGATCGATCCGTGCCATTATTGCATTTATCGCCGGTGATGTCGGTAGATAAACATGAATTTTACTATAGTGACGTCAAAGTCACTATTGTCAGCAGGACGTTACCGAAAGGAGTCATATACACATGACGCACATACTCTCAATAGTTTAGTCAATATTTCTGTTCAACGGTTCTCTATAGTTTTATTGTCCCCTGGGGCGGCCTCGGGGAAAAAATTACGTAGCTATTTAAGGGAGTGTTCGCGGAAAAAAAAAGATACTTAAAATAATTAACATCGCAACGTTGCCAAAGTATACGGTGAATAATTTGTTCGATCTCGTTCTTCTTCGACGTAGGTATATCTACGAGATAAGATATACTTCATCGAACGGTTCACTCCACTTTCAGTTTCAGAACTCTCGATTACAGTACGACAGCCGCCAATTTATCGGCGATGTAATTCGAAACTTTCGGCATCTTATCGACAACCTGAGACGCTTAAAACTACCAAACCCTGTAAGCGATCCCATATTAGTTTAAGCCGGTTAAGAACTGTCATCCTATTAAACTATCAGGTAAATAACTGTAACCACCTAATATAATGCCAAACTATTACGAAGTTCGCCGAGCGAAACCACAGACATTCATTCGCAATCCATTATCCCACTTATGCCGTAATTTCGCTAATCCAATGCAATCCCCTAACCCCGCAAACATTTCCGACAAGTATACAACGACTACAAAGCAACCTTTAGAAATCCGCTCTCTGGGCACATTGCAAGATCCAATAACCTCACAACGGTAAAAATCATGAAATTTCATTTATTAAAAATAACACAATATATCATAGAATTAACATCCAAGAAGCGGCACAACTCGAAGAAAGTAGTCGATCACTCGCCTGCGTCAGACCGGGCATCACGTGGTGGATCCTAACCTCTTCTTTTCCCATATTTTCGGTTTATATCCTCCCATTATATGTATCCGATGTTCGCATCTTAGATTCAGGTCTCTGGACCTATCCCCGGGCTTAAACCACAGCAATCCCTCGGTGTAAACGTCGAATCTCAGTTCTTCTAAACAAGAAGTAGTCGAGATCCGCATGCGTCAGCCGCGCCACGTGGTCGCGGTAGACGGCGAGTATTCTCCTGGTCTTGGTAAAATTCTATCGTTGCCCAATATCCCGTGTCCGATCCACGAAATATACCGGGGATCAGAAAATAGATTTCTTCAGGATCCCCGTGGATCCTTGAGGAGGCGGATTGCTGGATCTTCGCGGAGTTACAGTCTGATTCCGTCAGGGGCGCGCGAGGACCACGGAGTGACGGATCTCGACGCGTCGCGCGTCCTTGGTCCGTTCGTTTGGGCGAGCTCATTGTGTCTCAGTGGGTATGGTCGGATGCCTCGTCGAGGGTCGACGTTTTCCAGTGAGGTTAGTACGACTGGCGCGGTGTGGTACCGTGTTCATGATCGTGGGAGGGGTTTAACGGGCGGGTAGGGGTTATATTTTCATTGATCCGTCCATGGCGTGGAGGTTTCATGACGGAGAACTTACGAATCCTGAGTCGAGCGTCCCTGCGCGGATTTGGGGTCGCCTTAAAGAGCGCTCCCATTCTCGACCCCGAGACCGGATCCCGAATATCCAGCGCCCGAGTGGAGGCTCGACTTTTTCCGAAAACGAACTCATCGACCACCCCGAGTCCACCCCTCGGCGAAACTGGGGCGAAAGAGAGTTAACCGAATTCCCTTTAAGACTCCCACTGAAGAATGGGACGATGAAATCGATACCAGCGAATGGATAAACACGGGCCTTTCCGAGGAATTCCTGCACACATCTCAGGCTAAACCACAAACCACATGGGATAATTTGTATCATTCGATTTACTATAGATTTGTATTCATTTCTATTCCAACGAATCCGTACATCGAGCTCTGGTTAACCGGTTAAAGTATTTTTCTAGACGAACGGGAGCGAAAAAATCGGTGCAGCCAGTCCATGACGTAATCGCAGGTCCTTGTTAAGGTAAAACAATCGAGTTAAACCGATATTTCAGTCTTAACGAAAGTATCCATGTTCCCGACTTTAACTCAAGCCCATCGACGCACCGCTTCCGCAGTGCCTCGGTCCTAAATAGGACAGCTTTCCAATACCGAGTTTCTCCCCTGTCGCGGACCAATACAGACCCTGGGACTATATTTGCAAGTCCACGTAACTACTTTTCAAGTATCTCGTAAAACGGGTATTTAACAATATCTTCTACATATCATTTAAATCCTGAAACGTCCTGAAATAGCGGGAGGAATCACGGCACGTCTCCATGGGATATCTCTTTCAGAGCAGTCCCCATGGTCGGTGGTTCCTGCTGTCCAGAAGAGGTGTCCAAACAATCCCCAAAAGTAGCGGCAACCATTGCGGGTTTGGAAACGGCCCGGCCCGCGACAGAGTGGAGAGGAGGCTCGGCTAGTTCGCGAGGAGGCCGCTGAGCGCTGTCGGCGCGGAGCAATGCAGTAGCGGCGGTGCTGGTCGGGGCTGGCTTCGCACCAGGAAGAGGGTGGCCGAGCGAGCGAGCGAGAGAGAGAGCTTCCGCCCAAGTGGGAGCGAGACGGACGAGGCAGCGAGAGGGCGCTTGAGGGAGAAAGAGAAAGAGGCGGCGCGGCGCAGGAGTCCAGGAGAGCGGGGCTCAGGGTGCAGAGAACTCGGCAACGTCGCAACGGGCGAATCTCGGGCGCGAACGGTGTCTCGGCGGGTCCGCGTCTCGTTTCGGGGTTAGGAGTCCGCTCGGCTAGGGGGCGTGCGCGCGACACGGACCGCCGGCGGCAGCGCTGGTGCAGCGGAATCGAAGCCCCGCGGCCCCTCCAGCCCGACAGTGCGCAAGCTGCCGGACCAGGCCCACGCCACGGCGCCGCGAGATATGTCGGGGGCTCGATAGTCCGCTGAGATGTTGTCGCAGAGCGAGTTTTACGCCCTTTTCATCCGCTACACGTTCGTGTAGCATGACCGCGGGGCGGGTCCTTGCCGCTGTGGTGACGGGTGCTCGGGAATAGCCGCGGCTCAAAGAGGAGAGCCCTCCCCCCGGGAGGAGCCCGAAGAGGAACTCGAAGAACCCGAGGAACCCGAAGAACCCGCGAGAGGGCGCCAGTGGGACGAGATCGGAGAGAAGAGGAGCGGAGCGGCAGAGTGCGGAGCGAGGTCTTGATGTGTGCCGCGGTGGTGTGCCAGTGGTGTGACCCGGAATCGAGAGCGGACACAAGGAGGCCACTCGCCCAGGCCACTCGGAACCCGCCCCTGCGGCGCCTCGCCCTCGGGACCCGCACCCTCCGCCAAAAGACGCGGGCAGGACGCAGCGCCGACCTTACGCGAGCTACTTGCGCGAGTCGCACGTAAGTTCGCGAGTCTCTGGACGGAATACCCTGGACCTCGCTAGTCCCTGAGGACTCCTTGGCTCGCTGCATTCGCAGACACCGGGAGTCCCGGGCTTTGCGATCGGTCGGGACTATTAGGGGGATTTTGGGGCATTTTGGCTTTTGCATCCTGCACTTCCCGTAATGCCGCATCCTGTCGTTTCACTCTACTTGGCGCTTTACGCCGTGGATGGCGGTGACCTCCTTCTGCATGGAACCCGATTCTTGGGCGTCGGGAATCGTTTGGGGGGGAATCGGATTTTAGAATGGTGGAACGTCCTGCAGGGGCTTTGCGCTTGGCGATGCTACACGAGGGATTTGGGCGGTCGTGTCCCTCCGTCGAGCTTAGCAACATGGCTACGTCGACGTTCATTACCTTCTGTCCCTGTCACATCGAGGATGTGGATGTAGAGACCTCTGCTGGGGTCTTGCGGGTAACTTCGTCGATAGGCTCACCGATAGGGTTAAGTAAGGTGCACCGAGACACTCGAGTGCGTGGACTTCGTATCCGTTATGCTTCTAGGTATAGTTGGACTGCTGTAAATATGGCCTAGAAATTTCACGACATGGTCGGGTCGAATACCGGATCTCGAAAACGTTCTTGGAACGTTTGTGAAGGACTTTCTGCGTAGCCTCCCACCTACCCGCATTTAAAATATTTTTAACAGCTTCCTGGATTATTTTTCCACCCTGGATATATTTTCGGTAAACGTTCACGTTCACTTATGGGTAATTTTTTTTTTTTTTTAATCGTCGAACTAATTCGATGTGCATATTGTGTCTTTGTATAGCACGCCAAGTTAGGTTAGGGCAGGTCAGATGTCGAGATAAATTGAGCTATCAAAAGAAGCGTGGCTGCAGGGACTAAATCCATATCGCTGATATTCCAATCTAAGATCGGACGCCGATCAAAATATCCAGTCAATATGTAAATGGAACGTAACTCTACGTTCGCGTAGGCTTAGTCGAAGACTAAGGTAACCATTGATTA